CTACTACTACTACTACTACTACTACTACTACTACTACTACTACTACTACGGCAGTCATTGACTTTTGTGAACCTTCGTCTTCTCTGAGTTGCACTTCATTCGTGTCCAGAAGTACCCAAAAAGGGAACCCAAATGAAATGCAGTTTTTTTTTTAATTAAGCATACATTTACTACCTTCGGAGTGTTTTTGCGTCTGCTCTGAGTGCGTTTTGTTTTTCTACGCCTGCCGAACAGACTGACCTCCATCGTCGACCAGCACCATTTGATGCTAGCATCCCTCGTCGCTCACGCCCTGCCCGAGGGAGCTCCGGCCTATCTGGAGTCGGACCTCGTGCGCCAGCTGGTCTACTTACAGAACCTCTACTCTGTTATACTCAGCGGCGACTTACAGCCGTGAGTATCTGTTGATAAACTCTTTAATCCTCCCCCCCCTATTTATATGCCTTATTTCGAACTAATGTGCAAGTATGCTGTCTGCCATTCTGGATGCCTCCAAGGGACACCCGTCAAGAAACTAGCCCCCCTGGTCATTCACCGGTTTAGTTATTTGGGCAACAGTAGTTTAAGTAGTGCACCTCATATACCCCCTAGTCCCAGCATTTTGTCCCACTGAATCGCTAGTTATAGGGATTTTATGGGCGGGGAATTAGGATAGGCAGTGGAATAGCTGCAATATGCATTTTTATGTTATTGTATTTTAAAAGGTTGTTGATTTATTTCTGTAGGTTTTCCTAATCTGTATTATCGTTTAGCATATCGCGGAAAACCCGATTGTTCAAATGCAGGTTTCTTTAAATTCTTGAAAAAAATAGAAATTGTGGTTAGGATGCCGTCTACTTCAACTTACCTGAGTTCCAACTTACAGTTCTGGAGTTAGATTAGTATTGACCGCGGGGCGAAGCGCCGCGCACACCGTCAATTTGCATGCGGAACAACGCACTCCTAGCACCGCGGGAAACGAATTCAACTACATTTTTCCACTTAACACTTACTTCTACAAATTTCCTTCACTGCTTATCCTATTTCGATACCCCCAAAACTCCTATAACCACCGTTTCCGTAGGAGAAAATGCCCGGACTAGGGATATGTGAGGTGCACTACTTAAACTACCCTTGCCGGTATTTGTTTTCGTACCTTCTCTTCTTCCAGTCCAACTTATTTTTTCTCCAGTCTGATCTGTTTCCTTATGGGTCAGGTTGTG